GGGGATGGCGTGCTTCCCGCAGCATTTGCGAACGTGCGCTCCGGTTGTTGCTGGTGCTGTTAAGAACGCTTTGGAGCAGATGCGAGACGCTTCATGCTCGAAGGACGAAGACACGACAAGGCGTGGCGCAGATGGCCCAGCGTGTGCGAGGGACACCCATGGTCCGTATGCGGTGCAAACGGTTTACTTCAAACTTTGGCCTGCTCTTCGAGCAGACGTCGACGTTCTGACGACTCTCTTCCGCATTGGCACAGTCCCGACCGCGGCCGAGAAGCAGGCGCAGAGCCTCTGCTCGATTCTCCCTGTATGGGTCGGCGACGGGCCTTGGCAAATGTCTAAAACCGGGCAGCGCAAAATACCTCTGGAGATAGCAAGCCGCTTCCTTGGGGCGGACTCTTGCAGCGCAGGTGGATTTCAATCTGACGAGAAGCAAAGCCGAGTGCTCGGTGCTCTCGGTGCTGCAATGCTGAACATGAGCAGTGATGCTGCTGCTTGTGTCCCACGGCATTTGCGTGTCTGCCCGCTCGTCGTTGCTGGTTTGCTTCAAGCGGTCGGCTCCGAAGACGATAAGGAAGAGTTGCTTCGCAAGGGCTTTCCCAGTCTTCAGTTGGTGGAAGAGGGTACGCGGTCCGAGCAACGGGGGCAAGAAGTCAAGCAGATTGCGAAGAACGATCCACGGCCTGCGGCGTTCCTTCCAGCAAAATGGCGAGGCTCCCCTAACGAGCGTAAAGCATATTTGTGGGAGATTATGGTGGATATCAATAAGCTTCCGGGTACTAACCGTTCATCCATGGAGGTCAAGGGGCGCGCAGCTGCAAGGGTGATGAGGCTGAGTAGAAAGGAGGGTGACACGAAAGACCGTGCAGACTTCTGGCTTGGTGCAGTGAGGCATCAGACGGATCTCTACTACACAGTGGTACACGCGGAGGCGGCGGCATTTTGGATGTGCGCAGAACTCCGCACTCACCTCATGACGAAGGACAAGTGGGCGTGGGGTGACCTCTCCAAATTCGGGCTCAGTCGTGACTTAGAGACGGCTATCGCTGATTTTCTGTCGCCCATCGAGTGCGAAGGGTTCAACCTTGGAGGACTCGTGAGACCGGATTCGACTGTGCCAGCCAGGGCGCTAAGTGCGCAGCGCGCAATTGCAAAGCTAGTAGTCTGTGCACACGAGGTCCTCGCTACATGGAACACAAGCCTCTTGCCAGACGAGCTGCGACACGACAGTGATTTTTCAACTTTTTTAGCCAACGTCGCCAATAACGACACGAAGAGGAAGGTAGAAGCGTGCCGTGGCTCAGTAGTCAACAAGGCGTGAGGAGGTGGTCGACGTCGAGGAGGAGGTGGTCGACGTCGAAGAGGAGGCATCTGACGTCGAGGAGGAGGCGGTCGACGTAGAAGAGGAGGTGGTCGACGTCGCAGAGGAGGTGGTCGACGTCGAACAGGAGGCAAGGTGGTTGTTAGTAGTGAGCAGAGCAAGAAGTCGGATGGATGTCGTTAGTAGTGAAGAAAAGACCGTGGGCAAGGGCGTCAATTCTAGGAGGATGGTGAAAGGGCGGCCAGCAACGTGATTGCCTGCCGTCGTTCAGAACCTACGGGAGAGGAGGGGGCTCGCACCATGATGAGGTAGCAACTCCGTTGAGCTTGAGCTTGGGAGACCGGGTTGCGGTCGTCGCCGCGATGCGATAACGTTAGCAACTTGGCTGTGGTGTCATGATGATGCGACGACTATAGCGCCATCGCTTTGGTGCGGATGCTATACTTTGTTTTTGCCGTGCGTGACTACTTAGCTGATACATAGCAGCGGGGCGTTGCTCGTGCTATGCTGTATTCATCGTCAGAACAGACGCGGAGGCTGAGCTTGAGGGACTTGCTGACGTTGCGTTCTGAAACATTGCAGCGGAATAGGTGCGCAAGTTTTATTTTTAGAGTTGGGGCCTCAGCTTCTGGAAGTAGTGAGGAGCAGGAAACTTTGAAACTCAACACGATGAATTACGTTTCTTTGTTGCAAAGCCATAGTAAGTCTACTCCTCGACTTAGAAGTAGTAAAGACTTGGTGATCTCTTGTTTCTCTTTCTTCATCATCCGTACAGCTACCAATAATCCCCCACCAGTTCCCGGCCCATCTTTGGCCCAAGCGTCTTGCTGCTATTTTTTCGGTCTGGTCGTGAGAGGATGAAGAACCAACTTTTTTGCCGGAGACTCATCTTCGCGGAGTCGCGAAGCAAGCTATCGATGCGGAAAAATTGCACGCTTCCTTCTTCGTCTCCTTCTCCACCTTGGTTGCTGCGTGGTATAATCTTCTACCTATTTTCAAAAACGACTCTTCAGAAGTGTCTGTCCTTGGTAATGAGATGAGTTACTGTTGCTGCATTAGTATCAAGATGATCACTCACACTCAGCTTCGTTTTTAGTATGCTAGATGAAGCAATATCTTCAAAATTTGCCAACTATTAATCTTTTTGTTTTTCGTCAGGTTTTGTTTCTTTTCGACGCAGCGTGGTGTCTCTTGCTCACGGTGCCTCCTTCCGACGGCTAAATCTTTACGGGTATCTACTGGCTGGCTAGTGGTTTTTGGTGTGGAAGCAATGGAAGCACAGAGTCGGCTGCTGTGTTTTTGGACAGTGAATTTGTGAAACAACAAGAGACGACGCCGGACTATGGAGGTGTTACAAACAAAAGACGTCGCTGACTCTGGTTTGCACATTCCTCCTGGGCGTTTGTCATTGTTCAACTACGGGCCATGGCAGTCCTTATTGTTTTCATACTTACCGACCAAGGTTGGCATATTCGTGATTGTCATACTGATATATTTATCATAGTTATTTATCGTACTTCTTATCTATCATTGCCAATGGTAACTACATAGATGCCATAAGTGTCATGCTTGTCAGTCTGTTGCGTTTTGTTTTTGAAGACATAACTGATCGTCCAACGTCTGTAGTATCGTCTCCAATAACGTTTTCTTTTTCAATACGGTGACTGATGTCTGATCGCCAAGGAGTAAACCGAATCCGTAAATTCTCAAACTGACGACTACAACGGATACCCAGTCATATTGACACACAAGAACAAGAACGCTGGTGAGTAGTTACTGAAGACTGTGCTAGTTTTGAATGGCCTCAGGAGCTGCAGGAGGCTGAGGACGAGACGACTCCACGTGATGAAAATAAATGAACAAAAAGCAAAAGGCGTAGAACGTTATGACCAAATAGCAGTCTATGCCGATCTATCTCGTCCCATTTTCAGCATCGCAATAATTTCAAAAAATGTAGTGGCTACTTCGTAGCTATGATTCCAAAAAAAAACATGAGGCCGCTTGGCTTTCTGGGCTAGAATCAAGTAGTTAGGCCACTAACGGGCGAGTAGCAAGGCTAACGTTAAGTTTGTTCGTATTTGTAGCTTTCTCTTATTCTTCTTTTATCTTTTAGTATTATCGGAATTGCCTACGACTGTGCCTGCAGGTGTAGACGCAGAGACTTCGCGGACAGAGTAGCGGGCAAGGCCTCAGGAGTCATAAGACCTCGTAGAAGGTAGATGGATCAGAAGTGTGCTTAGTGTGATTGCTTGTGGCAGTCGTGTTTAGTCTCCTA